TTTTTAGCAATTATTCCTTCATATTCAATCAGTACACGTTCATTCTATTTATATGCATATTTATATGTCTATCATAGAGACTACTATGTATCAAATCTACATCAAATCTGCATGTAAATTATAAACTCAGTGGTGGCATGACAATTAATCATTCATTAAAATATAAAAATATTTGATAGACAGTACGTAGTTTTCTATGTTGTTAAATTATTTAATAATCGCATATTAGTATCTAATTTTTAATTAATTCTACAAGATATTTTACCTGTACAATGGTTTTTTGCAGAGTCCTGTATTTACCATATATGGGTAAATTGTCGTGAACTTGATATTTGATGGTTTATTTTCGTTTTGTACTCGAAGCTCCTCGCAAAGTGCCTCCATCAATCCTTCATAAAAAAAAAAAGTAATAATATAAAAATACATTAAGCAATAAGAAAAAACACGAATATGTATTTACCTCTCACTGCAAACTTCGAAGAACAATAAGGAACTACATTGGATAGACCAAAAAGTCCAGCCACTGAGGAAATAGAAACGATATGACCGTAGTTGTTTTGTATCATATTAGGCAAGAAAGTTTGAAGAACCTACAGACAAATTATTTAGTTCACGAGTACAACAGCAATGGAATCTTTTTGAAAAAAAACTTGTGAGACAAATTACCCAGAAATGTGCCATTATATTGATGTCAAATATTCGTTTAATCTGTTCGGGTGTATGTTTTGTGAAAAGTTGACAAGGCATTATACCAGCATTGTTAATCAAGATTGTTACATCTCCCACTTCTTTTTTCACTTTCTCTGCTGTTTTAATGACCTCTTCTCTGTTCGATACGTCGCATCTGTGAATTGTAAAAAGAGTATTTTACAATTTATATTTTATGTCGAAAAATAAATTGTAAGTTTCTTGTACATACTTGTAACCGTAAGCTTTCGAGACGCCGTTTTGTTTGATTTCTTCTACGGTTTCATTGTTCCCTTGTTCATTTATGTCCCAACAGACAATAGTCGCTCCCAATGAGGCATATTTTAATGCCAATTCTTTACCAATGCCATGACCAGAGCCTGTAATCTATATAAATTATTTATGTACAGTACATGATCATCAATTATTTTCTTCAATTATATAGTTTTTCTGTTGGCAATTTTTATGAATTACTTTAATGCGTCATTTAATTTAAAATTTATTTGAATTATTACCAGGACGACTTCACCAGTTACATTTTTTTCTGGGAGTGGTATGCATAGTTTATAGATTCCTTTGGTAATATCCCACAGTATCGTCAAAAGAAACAGCAATATGTCAATTAGTAAGGCTCCGTACGTCTTGATCATGCTTCCTTTATATAAGAAATGCAGTTAATGAGTTTGTTTGTAATACACATTATTTAAATTTAAAATTCTAATTTAGAATTCTCGTTATTACGCTATACATATACGCAATAGAGAAATATGATCTTACATTTCGAATGCCTTGTTTTTTTTATCTTAAATGTTTGTTTGATACACGAGCAATATTAAAAATTAACTTCTTATTTTCATTCCCATATTTATACTTATATTGATAATTTATGTTTATTCACTTCTACATCGATTTCGATTGATTGATCTTTAAATGTGTTATAGAAATATGTTATCTAGAATATTTTGAACAACCTTCTCTTCTGATAAAAGTGCCAGATTCTGTTAATCTTTACAATCATTTCTTTAGATATTAAACTAACAAGGAGCCGTAAAGCTTTCGGGTCTGAGATTCGGCTGAAACTTTGTACATTGATAGATTTTAGTATCCTGTTTATGAATATATACTATTATAGGTGTAGACACTCGAGGGCTTTTAAGATATTTGCAATTGAAGTTTTTTTACGTCCATAAGTACAAATGCAGCGAAGTGATGGTCAAGAACAACCGTGGCTCCATGATGGAGTGGCAATCCGTCAACTCGTTCGCTTCTTCTTTTTCGGACAATTTTTTTTTTTAATTAAATTTATTATTTTTTTTTTAATTAAATTTATTACTTTAAATTAATTTTTTAAAATTATATTTATTATTTTCATTTATTATATTTCATGTGTAAAAATGTATACTATTTGCTGCTGGTTCGACTATACAGAGATTTTTCGTAAATGTAAATCAAGTATGCTTTCCTCAAGAATTAAATGAAGCCAAATCTGCATCTAATGAATCAGCTATTATCAGTTGTGCAAAATGTTCACGGTTTCTGTCCTTCGTTTGTTTTTGTGATAATTATCATTGCTATGATTAACAAGACTGTATTATATTTCATTTCTGTAATTACTTTGATTTGTGCATAATGCGTGATTTCAGGCCAATTAATTGTGAGAAAATCTATGTTTATATACTATTTAATTTTTTATTCGTTTCTGTACGAAATTTTTATTTTTCTGATAAATACCATCATTATATATAGTAATGGATGACCAGTCATAGATATTTCACGTTACAATAAATTCTTTGTGTATAATGGCATGTAGCATTTTGAAGTTCTTTTATTCAACAAATAAAGTTAAAGTCAAGAAATGAATCAAAATAGTTTACTAAAAATGGATTTTAAAAAAATATACATTTTTGTACATGGAATATAATAAATGAAAATAGTTCAGTTAAAAAAAAAAAAAAAAATTTTTTTTCCAAGAACAAAGAATAGAAACCGAGTTGACGGATTGCAATTCTAGCACATTGCCGTGCAGCCACACCTAACATTTCAACTGCACCTTCATTTGTAGGTGTGAAATTTTAATTGCAAATACCTTAAAAACCCTTGAGTGTCTACGCCTATAATGGTATACATTCATAAACAGGATATACCGAAATCTATCTAATGTGTAAATGATTCAGACTCAAATCCAGAAGAAGGGCCTTGCAGCCTCCTTGTAAGGTGACGAAGAATTGCAAATTCCAGTTGCCAATTAAACTAATATGATGAAGAAGGATTAAAAAAAAAAAACAATACGAAACGATGAGACGTAGCATGGAAAGTTACTTACCAGTGATGTTAGTAATTAAAAGTTGTCGGACGAAATGGAAGAATTTCTCTGCAAAGAAGATTCTATCTGGAATAGCACTCTGTTTAAAATAGCAAACGGAGAACCTTAGTCGTTCGTATCTGAATGACGACTACTTGCATCACTGTACGCTGCTGCACTGCTTATTGAGCTTTTTTCCTTTAGCTACAGAATGATCATGGAAGAATTGGTCGTTCTACAAATTACAAAATAGAACATTCTCAGAACACTATTATGTATTTCAATAAAATATGTAAATTTAACGTTACAGAAAGTATTCTGTATTGTTTCTTTGTTTCTTTTATTCCTAACCTTATGTGTACATTCTTCAGAAATGTACTATGAATGTTGGTTGATCTTGCCTCGGTAGCTACTTTTATAACGAATAAAAAAATATGTAATAAATATTTTATTATGTAAAACTGGATACATTGTTATATGAAAACTTGTCGTTTCAATGCAAAACCATTATGTTGGCTACAAAAGATATTAAAACCTTTCTCTTCTTTCATAACATTGCGAATAATCTGTATATTTAATTGCATACTTCTTTCTGTATACTTTTCATGTATCTTCAAATATACATGTTACTGATAGAAAAGGATAATTAATTAATTATTGTAAGTTTATTGCAGTGAAACGAAGGTTGTTATATAAGAAATACTGGGATGCAGCTCGTCGTTCTCGGATTCAGACATTATTTAAGGCTATGAGATTGTTTCTTTTATTTATTTTAATTTCACTTTCTTTAAAGTTTATCACTTTGTTGACGATTGATTGATTTTTGAAACGGTCGAGTTATCGAAGTTGTTCATCTTTTCACTTCCGGCTCGATGAAGAATAGACGAGCGTAAAAATAAGCTTGACCTTGAGGGTGAGAAATATTATGAATCACAATAGTTGTCGTTCTGAATTAAATAGCTTCACGTTTTGACACATGTATTCCAGCCAGTTTTCGAAGTAAGGAAATAGTTGGATACTATTTGCTGCGTAGAATGAACTTCATCGCAGAATAATTAAATTGTTTTTCATTTGTTTATTTACATTTTTAATTGTAGATCTTCATTTTGCGATTTCATTGTACGATTGCCATTTAATCTTGCCATTAACTTTTTATCAGACTTTTAAAACTCGTTTCCATTTCCTTTGAAGTTATTATATATGTTTATTATATGTTATATATAGACGAGAATATAATGAGTTTTTTTGTAATTTCATCGTCAATATTCGCAGTACTATTTATACTGTTATATAAATCTTCACGTGAGGAAATATTCATTTACATATAACACGTCCGCATATTTGTGACTTTTGTACCACTATTAACATTATCTTAACATGTATAATTAACATTATCTTTACATGCAGTTTGCATGTAATTAAAATTACATTTATATTTACATTTACTGGAAAGAAGCATCGTAGAATTTGTAATGTATGAATATGTAAAGTCGGCAAGATAAAAGAAACAGGTCCTATCTATGTACGATAAATTTACAATTCATTGATTGTTTCTCCTTTAAAAAGAGGGAAATTGATGTACAATTCACGAATCATCTATCGAATTATCGTGCCGAATATTTTTATTAAAAAGGTGGAAAAGTGTAAAATGTTTGAGAAATAATTGACGTTTAGTATAAGTTTTTGAGGTTAGGCTATAAGTTGTAAAAAGCACACGCAATGCCAAGGTCCATTAGCTCAGTTGGTTAGAGCGTCGTGCTAATAACGCGAAGGTCGTGGGTTCGATCCCCCCATGGACCAGATGATTTTTTTCACTGACTTGATCCTTTGATCAAAAGATGAAGTTGTTTTCATGAAATTATGCAATTACTTTTGCATACGTTAAATGAAATAATTATCAATTAATGATCAAGGAGAGGTAGTGATAAATTATGCTTAATTACAGGAGTGTGAGGTTCAACAATAAATATCCTGAATTAATAAACATTCTGAAAGTTTAAATGTACTTGCCTGAAATTCGCCATCTACTCGTTGAATCGCTAAATGAATTTTTCAGAAAAAATTCTTTCTTACTCCGTCTCTCTTGCTGGATGAAATGATCTTTTTGTTCAATAGGAAGCTTCACTGTTATTAAGCGGAGTATAGCGTAGACTAGAGCATACATTTCGCATGATCATCAAAATAGAAGTAGATTTGAAGAAAGTAAGCGAAAAATTATTTTTCATGGTATTGGTATGTGTAGAGTAAAGAATGTCTGACCTTTTATAAGTACGATGATTATTGGATCTAAGACTTAAGACACAAACTAAGAATTATTTGGTGGCCATAATTTATGTCAATGTAGTCGCTCCTTTTGTTTTCTGAGTTCTAACTTTTGAACTGCCCAAAATCCTTCTCGTAAACATTATTTTCATCTAAAACAGATCTATTTTAAAAATTTCAGTCAAATAAACGCAAACAATTTTTCTTTAAAATCTTGGATATTATTTTTTGAGTCGTTAAAAATTCTTCTGGTATACACTGTCACAGACGAGGTATATAAACAGGCATTGCATCACTATGTACTTTTGCGGCCATGGTAATAAGGTCGGTATAAACTTACCATTTCCTTGTCGCATCCTGTCTTACCGATTTTGCGACCGTAGCACTTCTAGTGGCGAAAATTAAAATTAAAAAAATATGAACAGTGTTGCCAAATCTGTTTCGAGAATTATTTATTGAATTGAATGGTACTTCATTAATGAAGGAATATAAACAGCGAATTTAAAACAGCAAGTAATGTTAATTGGGATGAAAAATTTATTATATATTTGACTATTAACATCTATTTAAAAGTATTAGAAAAAGACTGATTGAAGTATTTTTATGAACAATATAATTAGGTCTTTTTATTTACAAATGTGTAAATTCACAACCTGAATAAATTATCTTTATTTATTAAACTCGATTTTATAAAAATTTTAATAAAATATTTCTACAAATATTGTTTGCAATAACGAAGCACATTATGTGTTGTAAATTATTTCTTGCAAAATTCATCCGTTTCGGAATTTCGAAGTCAAATTTATTTCTTTAAACAATACCATACATATTTTCTTTTTTACAGTAGGATAGGAAAAATATAACGTATGAGTGACTACCTAAATATTGACAAAGACTACTACTACCTGTTGAGTATCACTGACTTTACCTGAAAATTAAGCAGCGAAAAAGGTCATTATAAGTTGAACCTTCATCGTGTACACATCGACTACTCTTTCGAAGTATTAAACATTGTTTCTGAATATTCTAATTGTTTAAACATTATCTAATATTTATAATAATTTATTTGCAACAATTAAACGATAA